ATTGATTTAATGAAAAAATAATTTTTAAAAATCCACGTTGACTGATTTAATGAAAAAATAATTTTTAAAAAATCCACATTAATTGATTAATGAAAAATAATTTTTAAAAAATCCGAGTTTACTGATTTAATGAAAAAATAATTTTTAAAAATCCACGTTGACTGATTTTTTTGAAAAAATAATTTTTAAAAAAATCCACGTTGATTGATTTAATGAAAAAATAATTTTTTAAAAAATCCACGTAGATTGATTTAATGAAAAAATAATTTTTAAAAAATCCACGTTGACTGATTTTTTTGAAAAAATAATTTTTAAAAAATCCACGTTGATTGATTAATGAAAAAATAATTTTTAAAAAATCCACGTTGACTGATTTAATGAAAAAATAATTTTTAAAAAATCCACGTTACCAGATTTAATGAAAAAATAATTTTTAAAAAATCCACGTTGACTGATTTAATGAAAAAATAATTTTTAAAAAATCCACATTAACTGATTTAATGAAAAAATATTTTTAAAAATCCGCGTTAATTGATTTAATGAAAAAATAATTTTAAAAAATCCACGATGACTGATTTAATGAAAAAATAATTTTTAAAAATCCACGTTGACTGATTTAATGAAAAAATAATTTTTAAAAAATCCACGTGACTGATTTAATGAAAAAATAATTTTGAAAAAATCCACGTTAATTGGTTTAATGAAAAAATAATTTTTAAAAAATCCACGTTGTTTCAATTATTGAAAAAATAATTTTTAAAAAATCCACGTGACTGATTTAATGAAAAAATAATTTTTAAAAAATCCACGTTGACTGATTTAATGAAAAATAATTTTTAAAAAATCCACGTTGACTGATTAATGAAAAAATAATTTTTAAAAAATCCACTTTGTTTGAATTATTGAAAAAATAATTTTTTAAAAAATCCTCGTTGACTGATTTAATGAAAAAATAATTTTTAAAAAATCCACGTTGACTGATTTAATGAAAAAATAATTTTTAAAAAATACACGTTGACTGATTTAATGAAAAAATAATTTTTAAAAAATCCACATTAATTGATTTATGAAAAATAATTTTTAAAAATTCCACGTTGGACTGATTTAATGAAAAACTAATTTTAAAAAATCCACATTAATTGATTTAATGAAAAAATAATTTTTAAAAAATCCGAGTTTACTGATTAATGAAAAAATAATTTTTAAAAATCCACGTTGACTGATTTTTTTGAAAAAATAATTTTTAAAAAATCCACGTTGATTGATTTAATGAAAAAATAATTTTTAAAAAATCCACGTTGATGATTTAATGAAAAAATAATTTTTAAAAAATCCACGTTTGACTGATTTTTTTTGAAAAAATAATTTTTAAAAAATCCACGTTGATTGATTTAATTGAAAAAAAAAATACTTTTTAAAAAATCCACGTGACTGATTTAATGAAAAAATAATTTTTAAAAATCCACATGGACTGATTTAATGAAAAAACTAATTTTAAAAAATCCACGTTAATTGATTTATGAAAAAATATTTTTAAAAATCCACGTTATTGTTTTAATGAAAAATAATTTTTAAAAAATCCACTTTGTTTGATTATTGAAAAAATCATTTATAAAATCCGCGTTGACTGATTTAAGTGAAAAAATAATTTTTAAAAATCCACGTTAATTGATTTAATGAAACAATAATTTTTAAAAAATCCACGTTAATGATTTAATGAAAAAATAATTTTTAAAAAATCCACGTTAATTGATTTAATGAAAAAATAATTTTTAAAAAATCCCACGTTAATTGATTTAATGAAAAAATAATTTTTAAAAATCCCGTAATTGATTTAATGAAAAATAATTTTTAAAAAATCCACGTTAATTGATTTAATGAAAAAATAATTGTTAAAAAATCCACGTTAATTGATTTATGAAAAAATAATTTTTAAAAAATCCACGTTAATTGATTTAATGAAAAAATAATTTTTAAAAAATCCACGTTAATTGATTTAATGAAAAAATAATTTTTAAAAAATCCACGTTAATTGATTTAATGAAAAAATAATTTTTAAAAAATCCACGTTAATTGATTTAATGAAAAAATAATTTTAAAAAATCCACGTTAATTGATTTAATGAAAAAATAATTTTAAAAAATCCACGTTAATTGATTTAATGAAAAAATAATTTTTAAAAAATCCACGTTAATTGATTTAATGAAAAAATAATTTTTAAAAAATCCACGTTGACTGATTTTTTTGAAAAAATAATTTTAAAAAATCCACGTTGATTGATTTAATGAAAAAATAATTTTTAAAAATCCACGTTGACTGATTTAATGAAAAATAATTTTAAAAAATCCACGTTGACTGATTTTAATGAAAAAATAATTTTTAAAAAATCCACATTGACTGATTTAATGAAAACATAATTTTTAAAAAATCCACATTGACTGATTTAATGAAAAAACTAATTTTTAAAAAATCCACGTTAATTGATTTAATGAAAAAATATTTTTTAAAAATCCACGTTAATTGTTTTAATGAAAAAATAATTTTTAAAAAATCCACTTTGGTTTGAATTATTGAAAAAATAATTTTTTAAAAAATCCTCGTTGACTTGATTTAATGAAAAAATAATTTTTAAAAATCCACGTTAATTGATTTAATGAAAAAATAATTTTTAAAAATCCACGTTAATTGATTTAATGAAAAAATAATTTTTAAAAATCCACGTTAATTGATTTAATGAAAAAATAATTTTTAAAAAATCCACGTTATTGATTTAATGAAAAAATAATTTTTAAAAAATCCACGTTAATTGATTTAATGAAAAAATAATTTTTAAAAAATCCACGTAATTGATTTAATGAAAAATAATTTTTAAAAAATCCCACGTTAATTGATTTAATGAAAAAATAATTTTTAAAAATCCACGTAATTGATTTAATGAAAAAATAATTTTTAAAAAATCCACGTTATATGATTTAATGAAAAAATAATTTTTCTAAAACATCCACGTTAATGATTTAAGAAAAATAATTTTTAAAAATCCACGTTATTAAGTTAAATGAAAAAAATAATTTTAAAAAATCCACGTTAATTGATTTAATGAAAAAATAATTTTTAAAAAATCCCGTTAATTGATTAATGAAAAAAAATTTTTTTAACAATCACGTTGTTTGAATTAATGAAAAAAATAATTTTTAAAAAATCCACGTTTGACTGATTTAATGAAAAAATTTTTAAAAAATCCACGTTGACTGATTTAATGAAAAAATAATTTTAAAAACCCACGCTACCAGATTTATTCGAAAAATAATTTTTAAAAATCCACGTTGTTTGAATTATTGAAAAATAATTTTAAAAAATCCACGTTGACTGATTTAATGAAAAAATAATTTTTAAAAAATCCATTTGTTGAATTATTTGAAAAAATAATTTTTAAAAATCCTCGTTGACTGATTTAATGAAAAAATAATTTTTAAAAAATCCACGTTGACTGATTTAATGAAAAAATAATTTTTAAAAAATCCACGTTAATTGATTTAATGAAAAAATAATTTTTAAAAAATCCACGTTGACTGATTTAATGAAAAAAATAATTTTTAAAAAATCCACGTTGTTTGAATTATTGAAAACATAATTTAAAAAAATTCACGCTGTTTAAATTATTGAAAAAATAATTTTAAAAAATCCACGCTGTTTAACTTATTGAAAAAGTAATTTTTAAAAAATCCACGTTGCCAGATTTAATGAAAAAATAATTTTTAAAAAATCCACGTTGCCAGATTTAATGAAAAAATAATTTTTAAAAAATCCACGTTGTTTGAATTATTGAAAAAATAATTTAAAAAAAATCCACGCTGCTTAAATTATTGAAAAAATAATTTTTAAAAAATCCACGGTGTTTAAATTATTGAAAAAATAATTTTTAAAAAATCCACGCTGTTTAACTCATTGAAAAAATAATTTTTTAAAAATCCACGTTGCCAGATTTAATGAAAAAATAATTTTTAAAAAATCCACGTTGCCAGATTTAATGAAAAAATAATTTTTAAAAAATCCACGTTGCCTGATTTAATAAAAAATAATTTTTAAAAAATCCACGTTGTTTGAATTATTGAAAAAATAATTTTTAAAAAATCCACGTTGTTTGAGTTATTTAAAAAAATATTTTAAAAATCCACGTTGTTTGAATTATTAGAAAAATATTTTTTTTTAAATCAATATTGATTTTTATATAAAAAATGAATTATTTTCTGCTACATAGTAATTAATTTTATGTTTTTTTCTTCTTATTTTCCAGAGATTACATTTGCCCATCCCTGATATCACGCTCGTGTATTTTTATGGTGAAGAGAGAAAGCAGGCCATTTGTCTATGAAGCCAGTGTGGGCAATTTGAGATAACTGAAAAATTAGGAAACAGGAGTTCATCACTTGATTCTCATTAGAAGAGAGAGTGTGAGAGAGATTTATAAAAAGAGCAATGATATTGAATGTAGAATGAGTGAAATTAACAAAATCTTATAAGAATTAGTTCTAATCCTCGTGGAAATTTTTGGTTTGCTGCGGAGTGAAAAGAAAAGGGAGAGAGAGAGAGAGAGCGCGAGGAGAGCTGGGAGATAACGTTCAAATGCCCAAGGGATTAAGAGCAGAATTGCCAAACAGAGAGTAGTTGAAAATATCACTCCAACCCACCCCCTCTTCGAAGGGAAACACGAAAAAAACACAACAACAAAACACTAACTTCCGGAAAATTTTTGCCCTACATACATATGTGCGGCAGGAAAACCCGCAAGGAAAAACAATAGCCAACCTTTAGTTGATGTTTGTCTTCCCATGTAAATTGTTGACGCCCGCGTATGAGGCCTTTCTAGGCAAACGAAATTCGAAAAAAGAAACAAAATTCTGTTCTAATGTCTCTAAAGACGTAATTTTTTAAGTCCTTTTGTTCTAACCCACAACAACGACAATAGATAAAGGACGTGTGGATTTTTTGTTGCTTTTGCCATGAGCGGCTCTATGCTGAACAATGGCAGCATTAACCGCAATATTAAAAGCTTCTCTGAACTCAACTCATTATCATCAGCATCTACGACAACAACAACAACAATAAAAGGAATATCCTTCGAGGCAGGACAACCATCAGTGGCACAATCATTCAAATTATCATCAGCTAGCTGTTACTGGAGTAATGTGTCAACAACCCTACCGCCAACACCGTTATCGACATCATCGTCATCGCCATCAGCATCAGCATCAGGAGAAACAATAACAATAGCCCGCAATTGTTATCCAGCTCCCAGCAACATCACCTCCCCACCACCAACAACAACAACAATAATAACAACAACATCACCGCCATCAGCACAGCAGTCATGCTGGAGTTGTTCCAAAACTGGATATGGAAATGGTATAGAAGGGCGCCAACGCCAACAACGCTTCAGGAGAATGTCTTCAACAATGCCCCCCTCCCCGTCGTCATCATCATCTTCAGCAATGTGGCTGTCAACGCGTTTTGACAAGTGGCAAATTGTTGTCTTATCAATAATTATTTTATTATGTTGCACAAGTGAGTATGGAAACGCATTCAAATCTACACACACACATACTTATTAAATAGAAATCACAGGCAACGGTCACTGTATTGGGATGGCAATACAAAAAAAATTAAAAATGGATTTTTTCCGTTTTTTTTAAATTTTCAATTTTTTAAAATAAATCTTGGGAATAAAAAATCCACGTCTTAAGATTCTTTGAAAAAATATTTTTTAAAAAATCCACGTCTTAAGATTCTTTGACAAAATATTTTTTAAAAAATCCACGTCTAATTATTCTTTGAAAAAATATTTTTTAAAAATCCACGTCTTATGATTCTTTGACAAAATATTTTTTAAAAAATCCACGTCTTATTATTCTTTGAAAAAATATTTTTTAAAAAATCCACGTCTTACTATTCTTTGAAAAAATATTTTTTAAAAAATCCACGTCTAATTATTCTTTGAAAAAATATTTTTTAAAAAATCCACGTCTTGTGAATTCTTTGAAAAAATATTTTTAAAAAATCCACGTCTTGTGAATTCTTTGAAAAAAGTATTTTTTAAAAAATCCACGTCTTGTGAATTCTTTGAAAAAATATTTTTTAAAAAAATCCACGTCTTGTGAATTCTTTGAAAAAATATTTTTTAAAAATCCACGTTTGTGAATTCTTTAAAAAAATATTTTTTTAAAAATCCACGTTTGTGAATTCTTTAAAAAAATATTTTTTTAAAAATCCACGTTTGTGAATTCTTTAAAAAAATATTTTTTTAAAAATCCACGTTTGTGAATTCTTTAAAAAAATATTTTTTTAAAAATCCACGTTTGTGAATTCTTTAAAAAAATATTTTTTTAAAAATCCACGTTTGTGAATTCTTTGAAAAAATATTTTTAAAAATCCACGTCTTGTGAATTCTTTGAAAAAATATTTTTTTAAAAAAATCCACGTCTTGTGGTTCTTTGAAAAAATATTTTTTGTGAATTCTTTGAATTCAGAATTTGTGAATTCTTTAAAAAAATATTTTTTTAAAAATCCACGTTTGTGAATTCTTTAAAAAAATATTTTTTTAAAAATCCACGTTTGTGAATTCTTTAAAAAAATATTTTTTTAAAAATCCACGTTTGTGAATTCTTTAAAAAAAATATTTTTTTAAAAATCCACGTCTTGTGGTTCTTTGAAAAAATATTTTTTGTGAATTCTTGAATTCAGAATTTGTGAATTCTTTAAAAAAATATTTTTTAAAAATCCACGTTTGTGAATTCTTTAAAAAAATATTTTTTTAAAAATCCACGTTTGTGAATTCTTTAAAAAAATATTTTTTAAAAATCCACGTTTGTGAATTCTTTAAAAAAAATATTTTTTTAAAAATCCACGTTTGTGAATTCTTTAAAAAAATATTTTTTAAAAATCCACGTTTGTGAATTCTTTAAAAAAATATTTTTTTAAAAATCCACGTTTGTGATTTCTTTAAAAAATATTTTTTTAAAAATCCACGTCTGTGGTTTCTTTAAAAAATATTTTTTTAAAAATCCACGTCTGTGGTTTCTTTAAAAAATATTTTTTTAAAAATCCACGTCTGTGAATTCTTTATAAAAATATTTTTTAAAAATCCACGTTTGTGAATTCTTTAAAAAAAATTTTTAAAAATCCACGTTTGTGAATTCTTTAAAAAAATTTTTTTAAAAATCCACGTTTGTGAATTCTTTAAAAAAATATTTTTTAAAAAATCCACGTCTAATTATTCTTTGAAAAAATATTTTTTAAAAAATCCACGTCTTGTGAATTCTTTGAAAAAATATTTTTTAAAAAATCCACGTCTTGTGAATTCTTTGAAAAAAGCATTTTTTAAAAAATCCACGTCTTGTGAATTCTTTGAAAAAATATTTTTTAAAAAAATCCACGTCTTGTGAATTCTTTGAAAAAATATTTTTTAAAAATCCACGTCTTGTGAATTCTTTGAAAAAATATTTTTTTAAAAAAATCCACGTCTTGTGGTTCTTTGAAAAAATATTTTTTTTAAAAAATCCACGTTTGTGAATTCTTTGAAAAAATATTTTTTAAAAAAATCCACGTCTTGTGAATTCTTTGAAAAAATATTTTTTAAAAAAATCCAGGTCTTGTAGTTCTTTGAAAAAAATATTTTTTAAAAAATCCAGGTCTTGTAGTTCTTTGAAAAAAATATTTTTTAAAAAAATCCACGTCTTGTGAATTCTTTGAAAAATATTTTTAAAAAATCCACGTCTTGTGAATTCTTTGAAAAAATATTTTTTAAAAAATCCACGTCTTGTGAATTCTTTGAAAAAATATTTTTTAAAAATCCACGTCTTGTGAATTCTTTGAAAAAATATTTTTTAAAAAATCCACGTCTTGTGAATTCTTTGAAAAAATATTTTTTAAAAAATCCACGTCTTGTGAATTCTTTGAAAAAATATTTTTAAAAAATCCACATCTTGTGAATTCTTTGAAAAAAATTTTTTTAGAAAGTCCACGTCTTATGGTTCTTTGAAAAAATATTTTTTTAAAAAATCTACGTTTCTTGTATCTTTGAAAACATATTTTTTAAAAAATCCACGTTTGTGAATTCTTTAAAAAAATATTTTTTAAAAATCCACGGTTGTGAATTATTTGAAAAAATATTTTTTTTTCAATAATCCATGTTTTTATAAATCCCCGTTTCATGTTTTTTTGGAAAATTATTTTTTTTAAATACTAATTGAAATAGTTCCAGGTTTTTATTCCCAAACCTTTTTTCCTCACCTATATCGTATCTCCCATTATTGTTCCTAATGGATGGCATTCAATTGTGGCGTCAGCTTTCGCAGCGCCTTTCATTATTCGGTGGCGTATTTTATCGCCTTCATTTTCATTAAATTTCTTCACAATTGATTACATTATTCTCATTTGATTGTATTGCCATTGTTGTTGTTGTAATTTCCCTAGAATTGTTTTGGAGACAATAACAACAACAACAATGGCATAGAAGACAAATCTTGAAATAATGATTTTTAATTAAATGGAATTTTGCTCTAATTGCGAAAGGACTTTATTGACAGCTGTCACTTGTAATGTGTTCCGAAGAATTATACAAAGAGGGTTAGGGGGAGGGCAAGGAGTTGTTGGGGGAAATTATTATTAAAATCGCCGCCAAAAGTGATTGATTTTGGACAATAATGGCACACACCCACCGCCTCCTCACACACTTCAGTTTCATGGACAGGACCTTAGCTGAGAGAGAAAGAGAGAGAGGGAGGACATAATTCTTCTTCACAAATGAACACAAGTGTCATTAAAACTTCTTTCCCGAATTCCAGGAATTTTAAGCCTAGAAAAAATCATAATTTTGTGGCCTTAAGACGATTTGAGAGGGATATGTCTTAAAGTGTGTGGGTGAGTGGGGCTTGGCCTTGGTATGATTAAAGGAAAATTTTGTCAATGTGTGGGTGGGTAGGAGGAATGCCATTAAAGTGACACGGTAGTTGAGTTGATAGGATTGAGTGAGGCATCACTTAATACAAGCACCCACACACACACTCATATTTTAAATAGTTTTGTCAAGGTGTTCAAATGCGATTTAATGTGAGGTTATGGCAGGATAATGGCATTAAGAAAAATATAATTTAATTAATAAATATAAGCTTACGTAATTAAAAGATTAAAGAGATTAAAGGCATTCCAAGGATTACAAAGACTTAATTAAGGCAAACTTTGTTGCCTGAATTAAAAAAAAAAAAAAAAAATTTTTCAAAGATTTAAATAAAGTGAATTTTTTTAAAAAATATTTTTTTAAAGAACCATTAGACGTGGATTTGTTAAAAAAATATTTTTTCAAAGAACCTTAAGACGTGGATTTTTTAAAAAATATTTTTTTCAAACAACCATACGACGTGGATTTTTTAAAAAAAATATTTTTTCAAACAACCATGAGACGAGGATTTTTTAAAAAATATTTTTTTTTCGAATCGCCACGAGACTTGGATTTTTTAAAAAATATTTTTTCAAAGAACTATAAGACGTGTTTTTTTTAAATATATTTTTTTAAACAACCATAAGACGTGGATTTTTTAAAAAAATATTTTTTTCAAACAACCATAAGACGTGGATTTTTTAAAAAAATATTGAAAAAATATTTTTTCAAACAACCACAAGGCGTGGATTTAAAAAAAATATTTTTTCAAACATCCATAAGACGTGGATTTTTTAAAAAATTGTTTTTTCAAACAACCATAAGACTTGGATTTTTTTAAAAATATTTTTTCAAACAACCATAAGGCGTGGATTTTTTGAAAAAATATTTTTTCAAACAACCATAAGACGTGGATTTTTTGAAAAAATATTTTTTCAAAGAACCATAAGACGTGGTTTGTTTTAAAAAATATTTTTTCAAAGAACCATAAGACGTGGATTTTTTAAAAAATATTTTTTCAAAGAACTTAAAGGCGTGGATTTTTTTAAAAAACATTTTTTCATAGATTTAAATTAGGTGGATTTTTTTAAAAAATATTTTTCAAATTACCATAAGTCGTGGATTTTTTTAAAAATATTTTTCAAATTACCATAAGGCGTGGATTTTTTTAAAAATATTTTTTCAAACAATCATAAGGCGCGGATTTTTTAAAAAATATTTTTTCAAGGACATGGATTTTTTAAGACGTGGATTTTTTAAAAAAAATATTTTCCCCTCGCCTTTGACTATTAAACAAGTTCTATAGATACGAATTGTCCCCCTTCCCCTTTTTATTTTAAACCAAAAAAGGAGAAAATATTGAATAACAAATTGTCTCTGTTCGAACTCCACCTAATTGATCTTTAGTCAACCTTTGACAATGAGTCTCTCCCCTTCCCCTTAAATTTACCTATTTTTTCATCATCCATCTTGAGAATGGCCCCAAGAGCTGACAAAGATTTATTGATTGGACCTCTCACACCCAAACTGCAATGCAATTTATGTTGTCGATTTTTTGTTTTGTTTCTCTCTCCCTTTTTTTGGAATTTTAAATAACCTGCAAGGATATTTATTTTTTGTTATCGCAACTCCAATACATTTTTTCGGAATATAATAGAGATATTAAATTACACTTTGCAAAAGAAAGCTTATAAAAGATTTATCTAAATTACTTCGTTTGTTTTGGGATTCCTTTTTCTACTTGGGGTACGAATAAAAGGGGTGAAAGAGGAAAAAATAATGGCAACTGCGGATGGGAGAATTAGATAGACAATCGTATTTGTGATGCAGAAATATAAAATAACCTAAAAATCTGTTGAAGAGTTTTTGACAATTTATACCTTTTTTACATGTTTTTGACATTTACGACATTGCGCTACATAACTCTATTTTTATATTAAAAGCATTATTTTTATCATTTATTATCAAATTAAATCCAAATGATTTAAAAATTTAACTTTGACTTTTTAACATTTTATACAGGTTTACGACATTTTTGACATTCACCACTTTGCACTATGTACCTTAGTTTTAAGAAAGACATCATAATTTTTACCTTTTCTGAGTAAAATAACTTAAAAGGTCCCAAAAAATCAACGTTTTTTACATATTATACAGGTTTGCGACATTTTTGACATTAACGAAATTGCACTATATACTTTTAGTTTAGACTAAACTTCGTAAATTTGTCGGTATCGAAGTAAAATAACTTAAAGGAAACAATAAATCGAATATTTTGACATATTATACAAGTTTGCGACATTTTTGACATGAACGAAATTACACCATATGCTGTGGTTTTTGACAAAAAACATTATTTTTACTATATCTTAGTAAAATAACTCAAAAGAGACCTACATTCAGTCTTTTTGACATTTTATACAGGTTTACGACATTTTTGACACTAACTAAATTACGCCATACGCTTAGGTTTTCAAAAATATATCATAGTTTTCATGATATCTTAAGAAAACGATACGAAAGAAACCATTAATTAGGCTTTTTGACATATTATACATGTTTGCGACATTTTTGACATTAACGAAATTGCACCATATGCTTTGGCTTTAAACTGGAGATCATAATTTTAACTATATTTTAGTTAATTAACTAAAACGAAACCATAAACCGGCCTTTTTGACATTTTATACCGATTTACGACATTTTTGACATTGACGGCATTACACCATATACTTTGGTTTTAGACAAGACATCACAGTTTTCAGTATATCTAAGTGTCATAACACAAATGGGACCAAAAATCGGTCTTTTTGACATTTTATACAGGTTTGCGACATTTTTGACATTAACGAAATTGCGCCAAATACTTTGGCTGTAAGTTGAAGATCACAATTTTAACTATATTTTAGTTAAATAACACATAAGAAACCATAAACCGACCTTTTCGACGTTTTATACAGGTTTGCGACATTTTTGACATTAACGAAATTGCACCATTTTTTGGTTTTGGGCCGGTTATCATCATTTTCAGTATATCTAAGTGAAATAACACATACGGAAACATTAAATGGCCTTTTTGACATTTTATACAGGTTTGCGACATTTTTGACATTAACGAAATTGCACCATATTTTTGGTTTTAGGCTGGTTATCGTCATTTTCACCATATCTGAGTAAAATAACACAAAAGGAACCATTAAACGACCTTTTTGACATTTTATACAGGTTTGCGACATTTTTGACATTAACATTTTTCGACAAAAATAGCTAATAATAACATCTATTGAAAGATTGACTACAAAGAAATAGAATTTGTTTTAAAACTAGGTATTTTTAATAGCAATGGAGGTTTTATACATTTTATACATAAATGGTACATTTGCTACATTTGCGACAATCACTCTTTTCAAGAGTTGTAAACCTTAAACTTTGCCATAAAATACAAAATCAATATTAATATACAAACTGTATTATTTTCATTCCAAACTAGTTTTATACATATTATACAAAAATTTTACATAAATCCTTTCGTGGTTGCGAGCCTGAACATATCGAAATATAATGTAACAAATGTAATTTCAACGAATTGCAACTATTTTCTGACATTTGATATGGTTTTATGCCTTTTGGAGGATTTATGCCTTACATTTTATACAGTTTTATACCTTTTCGACATATTAGTTTTTACACATTTTTGTGGTTGTAAACCTCGATCTACATGAACTTTGGCGATATATGTAACATTCTAGTAACTTATACTCATTTTGTGACATTTTATACGATTTTATACGTTTTTGACAATGTTAAAATTTCAGGGTAAATATATACTCTTAGTAGTTGTAAACCTCTATCTACATAAAATATCCCATGAAAATGTGGTGTCAATAATTTACACCGGCATTTTAGACGTTTTATACAGTTTAATACATTTTTGACAATTACGATTTTTATGTTATAAACTTTCTAAATGTATCAAAATTGAAAGAAACTCGGAAAAATTGAGATTTCGACGTTTTATACAGTTTTATACATTTTATACAAAAGTGTAACATGAACTTTTTTGTGGTTGTAAACCTCCAAGAACACAAAACAACGCAATGTCACGTAATTTCAGTAATTTACACCTGCATTTTAGACATTTTATACAGTTTTATACGTTTTTGACATTGTCAAATTTTTCATAATTTTACCTAAAAGCTCGCTAGATACGAAAGAAACTTCAAACATATAGGTTTTTACATTTTATACAGTTTTATACATTTTATACAAAAGAGTACATTGTACTTTTTAGTGGTTGTAAACCTCAATTTACTTGAAATAACCCTAGAAAACTTTGATTCCGTAATTTACACCCATATTTTGGGTATTTTATACAGTTTTATACATATTTGACATTTGCAATTTTCATGTTTTTAACTTGTAAAATGTATAAAAATTGAAAGAAACTCCGAAAATTGAGTTTTCGACATTTTATACGGTTTTATACATTTAATACAAAAGTGTAAAATGTAATTATTTTCTGGTTCTAAGCCTCTATATATATAAAATAAGTCAAGAAAACGCCGATTCAATAATTTACACCCATATTTTCACATTTTATACAGTTTTATACATTTTATACAAAAATGTGAAATGTACTTTTTTGTGGTTGTAAAGCTCTATCTACATGAAATGACCCAAGAAACCGTGGTTTCAATAATTTACACCGCGTTTTAGACATTTTACACAATTTTATACATTTTTGACATAGTCAATTTTTTGTTATTTTTACTTAAAAACTCACCAAATATGAAAGAAACATTTTACACAATTTTATACATTTTTGACATAGTCAATTTTTTGTTATTTTTACTTAAAAACTCACCAAATATGAAAGAAACTCCAAAAATATAGGTTTTTACATTTTATGCAATTTTATACATTTTATACAATTTTGTAAAATGTACTTTTTTGTGGTTGTAAACCTCTGTCTACATGAAAAGATCTAAGAAAACGTTGTTTCCGCAATTTACACCCATATTTTGGGTATTTTATACAGTTTTATACATATTTGACATTTGCAATTTTCATGTTTTTAACTTACAAAATATATCAAAAAGAAAACGAAAGCCCGAAAAATTGATCAAAAGCGAAGAAAACACAAAAAAATGATTTTTTTTCACATAATATGCAGTTTTATACATTTTATACAAAAATGTAAAATGTACTTTTTAGTGGTTGTAAACCTTAATCTACGTCAGATAACCCAAGAAAACGCAGATTCAATAATTTACACCCATATTTTCGGCATTTTATACAGTTTTATACGTTTTTGACATTGTCAAATTTTTGTTATTTTCACTAAAAAACTCATTAGATATGAAAACAACCCCAATAATATTGGTTTTTACATTTTATACAATTTTATACATTTTATACAAAGGTGTATGTTGTACTTTTTTGTGGTTGTAAACCTCAATTTACCTGAAATTGATTTGTAATTTTCACCCATATTTTTGACGTTTTATACAGTTTTATACATATTTCTTTCTTAATTATTTAAAATTGTTGACACTTGTATACAGTTTTATACAAAAATGTAAAATGTACTTTTTAGTGGTTGTAAACCTTAATCTACGTCATATAACGCAAGAAAACGTAATTTCAGTAACTTCCACCCATATTTTAGACATTTTATACAGTTTTATACGTTTTTGACATTGTCAAATTTTTGTTATTTTTACTTAAAAATTGACTAGATATGAAAGAAACCCCAAAAATTCTTATTTTTATGTTTTATACAATTTTATACATTTTATACAAAAGTGTACTAAGTACTTTTTTGTGGTTGTAAACCTCAATTTACCTGACATAACCCACGAAAACATGGTTTCCGTAATTTTCACCCTTGTTTTACACATTTTATACAGTTTTATACGTTTTTACATTTTCAAACATTTTCATTTTAAACCTAAAAATAATCATACATCCCATCCCTGTATGAGATAACATTAATTGCATATTTCACACCCTCTTTTGTTTATGTTTTTTGTGATGTTTTTGAAAAGGTGCAGGGGTGAGGATGGGATGAGGGTGGTTTTGCAATACCCTCCTGGAAATTTACGTCTGTTTATTGTTTTAATCCTTTTTATGCTACGATAAAGTGCACCGGATTTTTTTATGAATCTCCTTTTGTATGGAGAAGCTAAAGATATCTAAAAAATTGCTAACCAGATTTTTTTCCTCTTCTCTCCTTCTTATCTCTTACTTACCATTCTCCCTGGCCACAAACAATAACAACAACACCGATGACTGCTTGAAATCGAATGATGATTGAAATCAATGAATGATGTGCCTGCCTAAAATCGCTGCTTACCCAAAAAAGGTCACGTGTTGGCAATACGAAAGGGTCGCCTGATGACTCCAAGCACCTTTACCGCTCTGAGTGGAGATTTACATATACAGATACAATTCTCACCAGATGAATTCGTGAATAACACCTCGAAGGGAAATCGGAAGTCCCAGCAGGATGGAATGGCGACAACATCACGAACCACCACCACCACCTCCACGAACAAGGAGCCATCTCCGCCTGAAGTGGAGAATTTCATAACCAATACCCTGGTAATTAGTAAATATATTGATGAGGAAGATGATGGCGATGTGGCGGTCACGGATGCCACAACGCCCACGGTGAGGACCTCAGCCACACCCACCAGCAATGATTCTTTGGTTTTGCACCGGAAACGCAAAGAAATCGTACAAAATATACCCGTCTATCCGGATCCACGGCACAATGTCACCCAGGTGGCCGTGCCCTGCCAGACCTTCATGTGGGGTGGCCTCTATGAAATGCAGTTGGTATCGAATTTGAAAATCACCAATAAATCACCCGGCAATGCCAGTGGAGAAGACCCACCCACCATATCGCCAACAACCATCACAACGACCCTAATTCCCTCCACCGATGAAAGGCTACGCCAAACCCTGGATGTCCGATGGCCATCGGCCGAAATGATTGTCAGCCCAGTGCGTTTAACCACATATCCCGAGGGACCTGTCGAAGTCACTTTGCGCTTTCCCGAAGTCAACTGTGATAGTGCATGGAAACGTGAAGACCTGCCGGAATTTTGGCTCGAACTCATCTACTGTGGCAAGGAGCGTAACTGTTCCCAGCTAATGCCGCAGAATATCAGCAAGTCAAGTATTCTCTTTGCCGAACAGGTTCGAGGATTCCCGAAACAGAAATCCTTCAAACTCTCCTGTGACCTCTTTGGGCTGGCGGGGAACTATGCCGTGCAGCTAAGGCCCATGGTTCCAGCCCACCATCTACCCATTACCCGACGTTTTCTATCCGTCGATTGGAGTGAGAAATATGTTTTCAATGTCTATGCCAGGAGCATATTTCCCTGTGATCCCCACACCGGAATTGGGGTACTCTATGAATATCCCAGCTGTATTTTGGAGCAAGGAGATCGGGTAAGGGTCTATGCCAAGCTAAGGGCAGATGTGGCATCTCTAAAGCCACCCACCTCCCTTCACTACATTGCCGAGCAGAGGGTGGTAAAAAATCAATACTCGTTGTATTTCAACTGCGAGCTCTTCACGGAGAAATATGTGGAATATTGTTTTGTCTACGTCACGCAGGCCATATCGGGAGCCGTGGCGGATGTGCGCATGGACTGTGTGCCCACGCTGCCCGTGAAGGGTGAGTAATTACTATTTATAATTTTTATTTTTATACTCCTCCGAATTTCGTAATATACCCTCAAAGAGTAAAGAGTGCTATCATCAGGTCTCTTTGGTCCAAATCCATTTCAGGACATTTGAAGTCGATTTACGGTTGTCCGCCCATCTGCCGGTATGGCCGATTACTAAACACGATACCTCTCGAAATGAGTATCCGATTTGGTCCAAACTTGGTACATTGTAATATTATTGTCAAACTTATATCGAGTTCGGAGATGGGCAATATCGGTCCACTCCTTCTGGTACCTCCCCCACAAAAGGTCGAATTTTTCAAAAATTATATTTTCTGCACAGAACGAGAAGCAATAATCTGATTTTGCTCCAACTTTGCAAATCCTAATATTTGCGTGAGTGCTAGGTCAGATGCGAAAATGGACAAAATCGGTCCACTCTCTCAGGTACCTCCCCCACAAAAGGGTCAAAATTTGGAAAAATAAAAACTCTTATAAAGTCTGAAATAAACACCCGATTGTCTTCAAATTTCACAAATCTGAATATTTCTACCAACACAAAATTTTGATATGAAGAACGTATGGAACGGACCACTCCTTCTGGTACCTCCCCCACAAAGGGGTCAAAATTTTGAATAACCATGAAGCCCAAAAGAGGTTGAAGTGAGCATTCGATTCTTTTGAAACTCGGCACATTCCAATATTTTAATTAATACAAGATCTGGTGTGAAGATGGGATATATCGATCCACTCCTTGAGGTACCTCCCACACAAAAGGGTCAAATTTTGGAATAATTACAACTTTTATAAAATCTGAATTAAGCATCCGATTGTCTTCAAATTTCGCATATCTTAATATTTCTACCAACGCAAAATTTTGATATGAAGAGCGAATAGAACGGACCACTCTTTCTGGTACCTCCCCCACAAAGGGGTCAAAATTTTGAATAACCATGAAGCTCAAAAGAAGGTGAAGTGAGCATCCGATTCCTTTGAAATTCAGCGCATTCCAATATTTCTATTTAAGCAAGTTCTGGTGTGAAGATGGAATATATCGGCCGGGACCTTCAAGTACCTCCCCCACAAAGGGTCGAAATTTGGAATAATTATAACACCTATAAAATCTGCAATTAGCCTTCGATTGTCTTCAGATTTCACAAATCTTAATATTTCCACCAACACAAAATCTGCTATAAAGAATGGATGGAACGGACCACTCCTTCTGGTACCTCCCCCACAAAGGGGTCAAAATTTTGAATAACCATGAAGCTCAAAAAAAGGCGAAATTAGCATCCGATTCCTTTCAAACTCGGCACATTCCAATATTTCTATTTTTAAAAGTTCTGGTGTGAATATGGGATGTATCGATCCACTCCTTGAGGTACCTCCCCCACAAAGGGTCAAAATTTGGAATAATTACAACTTTTATAAAATCTGAATTAAGCCTCCGATTGTCTTTAAATTTCACAAATCGTAATATCTCTACCAACACAAAATCTGCAATGAAGAACGGATGAAATGGACCACTCCTTCTGGTACCTCCCCCACAAAGGGGTCAAAATTTTGAATAACCATGAAGCCCAAAAGAGGTTGAAGTGAGCATTCGATTCTTTTGAAACTCGGCATATTCCAATATTTTAATTAATACAAGATCTGGTGTGATGATGGGATATATCGATCCACTCCTTGAGGTACCTCCCCCACATAGGGTCAAAATTTGGAATAACTACAACTTTTATAAAATCTGAATTAAGCCTCCGATTGTCTTCAAATTTTGCAAATTTTAATATTTCTACCAACACAAAATTTTGATACGAAGAGCGAATAGAACGGACCACTCCTTCGGGTACCTCCCCCACAACGGGTCAGAATTTTGAAAAACCATGAAGCCCTGAAGAAGGTGAAGTGAGCATCCGATTCCTTTGAAATTCAATACATTCCAATATTTCTATTTAAGCAAGTTCTGGTGTGAATATGGGATATATCGATCCACTCCTTGAGGTACCTCCCCCACAAAGGGTTAAAATTTTGAATAACTTCGACTTATATAAAATATGAAATAAGTCTCCGATTGTCTTCAAATTTCGCAAATCTTAGTATTTCCACCAACACAAAATCTGCTACGAAGAATGGATGAAATGGACCACTCCTTCTCGTACCTCCCCCACAAAGGGGTCAAAATTTTGAATAACCATGAAGCTCAAAAAAAGGCAAAGTGAGCATCCGATTCCATTCAGACTTGGCAAATCTCAATACTTCCATCAACACAAGGTCTTTTTTAAAGATGGTAGAAATCGGACCATTCCTTCTGATACCTCCCCCACAAAGGGTTAAAATTTGGAATAACTAAAACGATCATAAAATCCGAAATAAGCATCAGGTTCACAAATCACAATATTTTTATCAACCCAAGGTCTGGTGTGAAGATGGGATATATTGATCCCCTCCTTCGGGTATCTCCCCCACAACGAATAAAAATTTTGAATAGCCATGAAGCTCCAAAAAAAGGCGAGTAGGCATCCGATCTCTTTGAAACTCGACACATTTCAATATTTCTATTTATACAAGTTCTGGTGTGGTGATGGGATATATCGGTCCACCGACTGAATATCGATAACGACTGAATTCAGTCTAGAAGCAAGTATATCAAATTTGGAGAAAATCGGTTCAGATATAGCTATAGCTCCCATATATTGTTTCATCCGATTTGTGGATTTTAAGTCCCTCACATGCGTAATATGCACTCCACAAGAATGATATTTGGTACCAGATAATTTGTGGAGCTCAAAAGTAAAAGAAACGAGATGGACCCATAGTTCCTTTTGATGATCTGCATAGAATCACTTTCTGAGTTGATTTATGCATGTCAGTCCGTCCGTCCGTCTGTTCATGTATTCGTGTGAACAAAATGCAGGTCGCATTTATTATCCGATTGAGATGAAATTTTCCAAACAACATTTGTTTGGCCCAAGGACGAACCCTATTGAAATTGGAGATAATCGGTAAAAATTTAGATATAGCTCCCACATATATAACTTCGTCCGATTTACCTTTTATTGTACACCAAACGTGTAATATCAGCCCGAATAGTATGGAATTTTGCACATACAACCAAATTAGGCCTGAAAATAAGTATGCCAATTTTGATCGAAATCGTTTCAGGTACAACTATAGCTCCCATGTATGTGCTGTTTATCCGATTTGTTATTTTCGTCCTCCGCAGCCGTAATATGCACTCTGCGACAACAATTTTTGGGGAAATATATCAAATACAGCTCAGAAATATCTTTGCCAAATTTTATCGAGATCGGTTCAGATTTGGCTATAGCTGCCATATGTAACTTCGTCCGATTTACCTTTTATTGTGCACCAAACGTCTAATATTTGCCCAAATGGATTGGAATTTGGCACATACGACCAAATTGAGTCTAGCAGCTAGTATGCCAAATTTGGTTCAGATCGGTTCAGATTTGGATATAGCTACCATATATATCCTCGTCCGATTTGCCTTTTGCTATGCACCAAACTTATAATATTAGGCCAAATGGGATGAAATTTGGCACATACGACCAAATTGAGTCTAGAAAAAAGTATGTCAAATTTGGTGAAAATCGGTTAAGATATAACTATAGCTCCCATATATATTGTTCTTCCGATTTGTTATATTTGTTACCCACAGCCGTAATATGCACTCCGTAACAACGATATTCAGGGAAATATATCAAATACAGCTCAGAAATATCTTTGCCAAATTTTATCGAGATCAGTTCCGATTTGGCTATAGCTGCCACATATGTAACTTCGTCCGATTTACCTTTTATTGTGCACCAAACTTATAATTTTAGGCCAAATGGGATGGAATTTGGCACATACGACCGAATTGAGTCTAGCAGCTAGTATGCCAAATTTGGTGAAGATCGGTTCAGATTTGGATATAGCTACCATACATATTGTTCATCCGATTTGTTATTTTCGTCCTCCGCAGCCGTAATATGCACTCTGCGACAACAATATTTGGGGAAATATATCAAATACAGCTCAGAAATATCTTTGCCAAATTTTATCGAGATCGGTCCGGATTTGGATATAGCTCCCACATATAACTTCGTCCGATTTACCTTTTATTGTGCACCAAAGGTCTAATATTTGCCCAAATGAGATGAAATTTGGTACATGCGACCGAATTGAGTCTAGAAGCTAGTGTGTCAAATTTGGTGAAGATCGGTTCAGATTTGGATATAGCTCCCATATAAAGTGTTCATCCGATTTGTTAGATTTGTTACCCACAGCCGTAATATGCACTCCGTAACAACGATATTCAGGGAAATATATTAAATACAGCTCAGAAAGACGTTTGCCAAATTTTATTGAGATCGGTCCAGATTTGGATATAGCTCCCACATATATAACTTCGTCCGATTTAGCTTTTATTGTGCACCAAATGTCTAATATTTGTCCAAATGGAATGGAATTTGGCACATACGACCAAATTGAGTCTAGCAGCTAGTATGCCAAAATTGATCGAAATCGGTTCAGATATAGCTATAGCTCCCATATATATGCTGTTCATCCGATTTGTTATTTTTGTCCTCCACAGCCGTAATATGCACTCCGTAACAACGATATTTAGGGAAATATATCAAATACAGCTCAGAAATATCTTTGCCAAATTTTATCGAGATCGGTTCAGATTTGGATATAGCTCCCATATATAAGTTCGTCCGATTTACCTTTTATTGTGCACCAAACGTCTAATATTTGTCCAAATGGAATGGAATTTGGCACATACGACCAAATTGAGTCTAGCAGCTAGTATGCCAAATTTGGTGAAGATCGGTTCAGATTTGGATATAGCTCCCATATATATACGGTTAATCCGATTTGTTATTTTTGTCCTCCGCAGCCGTAATATGAACTCTGTAACATCGATATTCAGGGAAATATATCAAATACAGCTGAGAAATACCTTTGCCAAATTTTATCGAGATCGGCCCAGATTTGGATATAG